GGAAACGAGTGTTTCTTCAGAAGACGTAACATCATTGTGAAAGTGCTGGATCTCATTCTTGGATATAGCTCACAAACCTCCACTTCAGTCCTGCAAGGGATCAATGGATTGCAACTTCTGATCTCCCTTACACCACGGACAACCAAAGGCAATGCTGCTGAGACCATAAAAATCATAGGACCCTAATTAAGTTCAGTACCAGTATGCATAATCCTTAAAGCCTTGTGGAGGAAGCCACACACAGTTACAACTGAATTCAAGAGCAATAATGTACTGAACTAGTTATAAGTATTCCAGTTCATGGCAAGACACTTGAAACATGATCATGAAGATCAGAGAACAGTTGCTGCAACTTGCAGAACAAAGACACAACTTAAGGGCTTCCTCTTACCTCCCTGCCAGAATCCCTCATTCCCAGTCTGTCCCTCACCCTTCCACAGGCATGACTGTCCTGTCCATAACACACAACTTGTTTGGTTTCAGTGGCCTCCTGGTTACAACCACGTCATTGAAAAGGAATGCTACAGGGCTACATAAGCACTGCACGAACATAACACACGAACATAACACACAGCATCTACCTGTAAACCCCTCCTTGCTACTTCAGTTTTCTTCAAAGGTTTTGTCCTCAGTAGTACTATGTGGTTCTTTACAGTTGAAATTTAATTCTATTCTGGATGGCTTCTCTTAACTTTATTCCTTTCATTTAGATTTTGTTTTTTCTTTTTAGTATCTGTGAAAGACTTTAGGCTGAAACAACACACATCCATATGTACGTTATTTTCACAGTTACTAGTGCACTTCAGAAAATACGTTTCCTTTTAAATAGAGTTTTCAAATATCCATTATAACTTTCTGTCCTTTAATTTTTCCTGTATGACCTTCAAAATAATGGAGAAGAAAGGCCAGTTCATCGATGGAGTTGGCAGCTGTGTACTGGCTGAAACTGAGACACCCCAAAAAGTACAGCAAGAGATAAAAAACAAAACAAAACAAAACACTCACAAAAAGTGTGAGTGAAATGGGAAGAGATTAAAAGGCAGTGTTAACTGTGAAAAAAAATACTCCTTATCATCAAGTAACCTCTGCAGGACAAATTCCAACAAACACTGTTGTTTCAAAAACCCTGAAGCTGTCTAGCCACAATAAGATACTAATGGGGAATGCTGGAAATGTATTTAATAGCCAATTTCAGACTAGGTACAGGAACTGTGGAGATACTCACTTCATAAAGGAGAAGCCAGAAGTATTTAAGTGATGTTTCACATCTATTTGCATAGCTAACGCGTTACAGCTTTTACATCAAGTAAAGCCTACTGATGTCACATGAACCCATCCAAGAGTCATATGAACTCATATGAGAAATTGCTGGTGCTTGAATCTGCTCTCTCTTGTGTTAGTATTACTGACTCAGACTCACCTAAAAATCAAATGAGATCATGCTAATTTGATACATTTTCTATCTCTAGATAGAAATCTTACTCCAGTCTCGAACAGTCCCATTTTAGTGTCCACAAGCTTCTCCACAGATGCAATTAAGAAAAATTAAAACCAAAATTAAAATTAAAAATTAAGAAAAAAATCACACCCATATTAAAAATTACCTGTGAAGTCCCTCTGAAACATTAACAAGGCAATGTAGATTAAAACCTTCATTCTCTCATTTGTGTGTATGTTTACATAATGTTACATACACACAGACGCTGGTTAGAACAGATTTTCTCTGAACTATACAGTACAATACACCGTATGTATTATGCTGTTATATGTAAATCAACAGCAATTAAACTGTAAAGCAATTGACATATCAAATGAAGACATATTATTGGAGATTTCAGTTCACTCATTATCCCGCTAAATTCAAGCACTTTGGCACAGCAAGCTTAGTTTATCTCGTTTCTCCTCTGACTGTACTTACACTATCTCATTTTGGCTTTAGAACCACTTTTTGCATCCATGCAAAGTTTGGCACTTTTTGCAGTGCCAAACTGCACATCATGCCCTACTCCTGCCTCTTTACTGTCCTCAACTGTTGGTGCCTGAGCAATTGACAAGATAAAAGGGAGTTATTTTTAACTATGATCAGCTCAACAATCCACTTTGCAGCATCACTCCATGAACAATTTCATAGATTAAAAACCAGGGGAATTGCATATTGAGTACAGAAGTGCAAAAAATGATTTGGAAGAAAAGTTTCAGATATCAAACACTGCATGCCTGAAGCACAAGGCCAACAAACACCTGGATTTAACCAGGAATTTCTACAGTCAAAAGACCAGCCTGTTTTCTTGCATCAGATCTCCAGCTTGGGTTTTTGCACAATGAACTCAGCCTCAGGAGCAACCCAATCACTTTGTCCCATAGCAAATTAGTTTCCAGTTGGATCACCTTCCTGAACTAGCTCACTGCAACAGCACAGAGACACTCCAGCTGAAGCCAGGGGAGTAGAAAAGCGTGGGACTGTGACAACCCTGACAGCTCCCATGCTGCAGAGTACCTGGCTTAGATGTGCTGCTCAACTGGCTTTACTCCCTCTGACTGTACCTTCAAACCTGTCCCATCTTGGCCCATGATTTTAAATCCTTTACTAAAAGTTAGTTAAGTTAAATGGCCTTTTGCTAATACTTGTTAAATGCTAAAGTGTTACAAATACATTATAGGGCTAACCAAAACACTTCTAACATGCAGCTCCTCACAAGTTCTAAGTTACATGGCATTATTTTTTAAATTATTAAATAACAGAAAGAGCAGACAAAAAGCTACCTTGTCATTACATCAGAAATCTTTAATTCTAATTTTTCTTCTGTTTCAAAGCATTTAAAGAAAAATACATCTCAGAGGAGACAAACAGGCCTCTACTTGACTTCAGGAAGTAATTAATCTGTTTCTCAAAGCCCTTTATATCCCCAAGACACTGACTACCATGATTTGCTTCCCAGAGATGAGAACATCTGTACATGCAGGAGCCAGACCTTATTACCCCTTACTATCTCTCTTTTGCAGCTAACAGCAGCCCAGACCAGTAGTCACTAATGCTCTAAACTATCATTCATTTTTTGGTTGTATCATGTACATCCTACATGATTTGAGGCAAATCACTGAATCACTTTGTTCCTCAGTTGCCACCAGTGGGGATAATATGCACTTATTCATGAATACAGGAGATCCTCACATCCTTCAGCTCCTTTTCCATCTGCCCAACCAATACTCAATCTCCAAGCTGCGATCCCCTCCTCACACTGAGCAGCAGTATTTTGCGTTCCAGGTATCCAGCCGACACATGCATCCACTGTGGTGCAAAGCACGTGTATCGCATTGGGAGCCACAGACAGTAAATGAGCGAGGAATAAAGCATCCTATTACCATCCCACCATAATGAATCCACAGTACACTAAACACTAACAGATGCCAAAGACCATCCCGCCTCGCGTGTGTTGATACTTGCTGGGAGCCCACACCGACTCACAGTGCACACCTGCGGAGTCAGCCGCCCCGGCCCTGCCACAGCCTCGGCGAGACCCGAGTCCCTCGTTCCGAACAGACCGCAGGACCCAGAGGCGCTCCAGCCCTGGGATTTAAAGCCTCGCAAGCCCGGCGGGGGCGGAGGGGTCCGGCCCGCACTCACCTCGCCTGTTCTTGGTGCCGTGCTGCCGGGCGACCGCCAGCTCCCGCTCGATCCGCGTCTCCAGGTACTCCTGCTTCTTGCTGAGCATCTCCTCTGTCTCCCGCAGCCGGGCAAGAGCCTCCTGCGGCGAAGGCCCTCCGCGGCCCTTGGAGGCGGCCGAGCCGCCCCCCTTGAAAAACCTGGAGATCTTGCTCATGGCGGCGATCCCGGTTCGGCGACCGCCGACGGAAAGGTCCAGCCGGCCCGGCCCGGCCGCAAGAAACCTTCCCTGGCTGCTCAAGCCGTGACGGCACTTCCCGAGCCCAAGGGCTGGCGGCACGCACCTGGCGGCGGGGCGTCCCCGGGGCGGCCCCGGGGAGGGCAGAGCTGCCGCTGCCCTGCACCTTCGGGCAAGGGCAGGAGGAGCGGGGAGCTTCCGCGGGGCAGCCCGTAGGGACCGGGCCGGTGCGGGCGGTGCCCCTGCTGGCGGAGGCGGCTGCCGAGTTTGTCCATTTTTTCCCTGTGTCACAGAATCACGGAATGGTAAGGTTAGAAGGGACCACAGTGGGTCATCTGGTCAAACTTCCCTGCTCAAGTAGAGTCATCTTAGAGCACAGGATTGTGGCCAGACGGTTCTTGAATGTCTCCAGCGAGACATTCTCTCTGGGCAACTTGTTCCAGTTCTCGGTCACCTGCACAGTAGAGTTCTTCCTCAGCCTAACTCTCTCAGCCTTTACTCGTAAGGGAAATACTCAAGTCCCTTGATCACCTTTGTAGCTCTCCACTGGATCGGCTCCAGGAGCTCCGTGTCTCTCTTCTTCTGAGGGGCCCAGAACTGAACACATGCCGCAGGAAGGTGTGTTTTGGGAAAGCAGCGCACAAAGGCACAGGCGTGCACCCCGGTCAAGGCTGGGAAAATAACACTGAATTTTGAAGGAATGTGGCTTTTTACAAAAGTGGCGGGTGCGCCGCTAAAGGACACCGCAGGTCCCAGGATGCAAGAAGCGCCTCGGAATGCCGGGCTGCCTCCCACCCGCCTCGGGAAGAGGCCCTGCTCCGAGCGACGACGCAAACAGCGACAGAAGAAAGACACAAGACATGTTTTCCCCTGTAACAGCCCGAGGAGCACCAGCCGCGGCTCTGGGCTCACTGAAGTCTGAAGTGCCGACACGGCCTGGTCAGCGCAGATTCCGCGGAGCCCGGCGCTCCAGCAGCTCCTGCCGGTGCTCCAGCACGTCCCGAGCCCGCGACACCAGCTCAGCCCGGCGCGGCAGAAGCTACACCTCGAAACGGGCGGCAGACTTTCAGCATCCCCGCCCCGGGGCGGGTCTCGCCAGCCCCTCCCCAGCGCGGCCCCGCCCGTCGCCGCCGCTTCTCCAGCTCCCGCCCGCCTCCTGCGTCCCGCGGCCATGGCGGAGCTGGAGCTGGGGCAGCACTGCGGGGTGCCCGACTGCCGCCAGCTCGGTGAGGGAGAACACGGCGGAGGCGGGGGTGGTGAGCCGGGGCGGTGCGGGGGTTGTGTGGTGGTTTCTCCCCGCTCGGGGAGTCCTCCGTGCTGCTGCAGCCCTGCGCGGCCCAGTGCCAGGGTCTGCCGTCTCGGCTGTATCCCTGGGTGGTTAATCCCCTGCTTTCCCGGTCCTCCTCCGTGCTTGCCTTCGGTGATCTCAGAAAGTGTCGCTGAAAATGTAATCTTTCAGAAGGAGGCAGCAAAACCCCCTGTACCGAAAGCTTTCTGATGGGACCACTCGGTCTTAGGGATGAAGTGACTGAGATCGTCGTGAGCTCTGTAATCCAGTTGCATGGTGGTCCCTTAACATCAAATCTGAAGGATGGAGACGCAGAGTAATGGGCTAGAGTAGAGGGCATTTGCTGCCATTGGTGATGTGGTTGAATTCAGCGAACAACAAAGTGATTTTATCTCTAAGAACTAATGCGGTAGGCAGGGGGGGTGTACATACGTGCAATTTAAATTACAAGGATGGTATGTATGCTATGATATGAAGGCTAGAGAAGAAGGGGCAGGATCATCATGCCTTGTCAAATGAAGAAGATGCTATCCCTTTCAAAGAACCATCTCCACCAGTTGGCAACCTGTAAAATAAAAATGTAAATTGTCCTATGTCAGAAAATAGTATTCTAAGTGGTCTCACAATAAATTACATTTTTAAAATAACTGGTAAGTTTGATGGCTAGCCAAATGTTCCAGTGTCAAAGTTTGATATTTTAAAAAAATTTAATTTAAAGCCTAATTCCAACTTCTGGAATGTATGTAAGTATAATTTACCTACTCATCTGTTTTTTTGTTCTACTGATTAGGGGAGTTAACAGTGTAACTGTCACAAAAGACACTTTCAGGTAAAGCATATGCAATTGCTAAATATCCTTGTAAAGATACCTACCCTATGATATAGATAAGCAAAAGTTAATCATGGGGAAATTAACCTAGAAACTACTAGCAAAACAAAAATCGTGTTGTCTAACTGAAAACAAATCTCTTTGTTTCAGATTTTCTCCCCTTTATATGTGATGGCTGTTCAGGTGTCTTTTGGTAAGTTCGAGTACCTCAAATTGTAAGGAACCTATAAGAATCAACAAGTCCAACTCCCTGCTCCACACAGGACTAAAACTAAACCAGTGTCATTCATACACTCCTTGAACTCCGATAGGTTTGGTGCTGTCACCACTTCCCTGGGGTGCCTGTTCCAGTGCCCAACCACCCTCTCGGTGAAAAACCTTTTCCTCATGTTCAGCCTGAACTTCCCATGATGTAGCTTCTCTCCATGTTGGTACTGGTCACCAGAGGAGCTCAGCACCTTCTGCTCTGCTGCCCTTCTTGAGGAATCTGTAGGCTGCGATGAGGTCACCCTCAGTCTGGTCTTTTCCAAGGTGAACAAACCAAGTGACCTCAGTTTTCCTCCTAAGTCTGGCCCTTGAGGCCTTTCACCATCTTGGTCACTCTCTAAACACACTCTAATAGTCTGACATCCTTCCCATATTGTGGCACCCAGAACTGCCCACGGTACTTGTGTGAGGCCACACCAGTGCACTGTACAGTTGGGATAGTCGCCTCCCTCAGCCATCTAGCAATGCTGTGCTTGGTGTTCCTCAGAACATGGTTGGCCCTTTTGGCTGCCAGGGCACATTGTTGGCTCATATTCAACTTGCCATCGACCCAAACCCAGAGATCTCTTTCTGCAGGACTGCTTTCCAGCCTCTCGTCCCCCAGTTTGTATGTATAACCAGGATTACCTCATCCCAGGTGAAGAATCCTCACCTTGCTCTTGTTAAATTTCATACAGTTGGTGACTGCCCAGGTCTCTAGTTTATCCAGAATCTGTCTATAAGACTTCACCCTCCAGGGCTCCACAGCTACTCCTAGTTTAGTGTTGTTGGCAAACTTAACATGTGTCCAGATCATTTATAAAAAATTAAAGAGCACTGGCCCTAAAATTGAGCTCTGGGGAACTGTGCTGGTGACTGGCTGCCAGCCTGATGCAATTGCATTTATTATAACTCTTTGAACCCAAACCATCAGCCACCCATTGTATTATGGACTTGCCTAACTGTGTGTGGGATGTTTTGTCCAGAAAGACCCTGTGAGAGACAGTGTCAAAAGCTTTGCTGAAATGCAAAACACCACATCTATGGGCTTCCCAAGGTCAACTCGATGAGTAGCCTTGTCATAAAAGGAGGTGGTTGGGTATTTTTAGTTCCAGAAAAAGATTTGGAGTTTCTTCCAAGGTTGAAATTGGGGCCTGCACTTTGATTTACACTTCAGATAGGCAGAGGGCAACTGAGTTAAACTCAGGTAGACTGAGGGCAGATTTCACTTCTAAAACGTCATAAGCCCTCAAGGGATTTCTGCTGCTGTGGATGGTGATTGAAAATCCATTAAAATGGACAAACTCGAGTTCCTTTGAGCTGAATTCTTAAGCATACTAATGTCTTTATTCTCTTGAAGTGGCTTGCTTTCTTGAGGCATAAGTTCCAAGAGCTAAACGTTTTACAAACTGAGGAAGAGTATGATCAGTCAGTCATGCAAGACGTGAAATGCAGAGGTTAGAACAAACTTTGTAGAAGATTCATTATCTAATTAAAGTGTTGCCATGATAAAAGTAGTCAGATCACTCTTTAAATAGTTGAATGTTTTCACATATGGTTTTCTTTTCCTGAAATGTCTCTTCTTTTTCCATAAAGCCTTCAGCACAGGAGCCGAGATGCTCATGGATGTTCTGAGGTAATCTAATAATATATGACCTGCCTTAAAATTAGCTGTGTGTTTTCAGACTAGATGAATACATATATAAGTATGCATTATTTAACTGTGAATGTGAAAAGCTTAAAAAAAATTAATCTACTCTTTTTCTGCCTCTCAGAAGTAAATTGAGTGTGAGTAGAATGATGGTTCTATTTCTAACTCAGAGCTAAACATAACCAGGACAAAAGTAGGAGAATAGACTTGAGAGCTAGGGCAGTTCTTTGGGAAGGGTGTGTGGGGACTTGTATCTGTAGTATCTGTTTCTTTACACAAAATATTTTGTACTAATGCCTAGGTGAATATAAGAAACAATTCTGTGAAACCTGATCAGCACAGGTCTTATCCGTGCTCCTACAAGGACTGCAATGGAAAGGAGCTTTTGCCAGTTTTATGTCCCTACTGTGGAAAACATTTTTGTCTAAGGTGTGTGGAACAAGGTGTTTAAACATCAATACTCATTCATTAGTGCATGGAAAAGGTATTAAAAGTTTTATGCTGTTGTTTACAGACATCGCCATCAATCAGACCATGAATGTGAAAAGCTGGACACGCCAAAACCTCGAATGGCTGCTACCCAGCAGCTAGTTAAACATATTATAGGCAAGTACAGCAGGATATGTATTCTGCAGTTTTCTTCAGAAGAGTATTTGAACTTCTGACCTCCTTTGAAGGGGTCAGGTTCAACCAAATAAAAAAAAGATAGGGATTCCTTGGTTAAATAGCCCTAAACTCATGTCACATGTAATACTGTTCATCTATGCTGAGACAAGGCAACTGTATGAAGAGAATTTTTAAAGATTAAATAGGGCTTAAGTTTCTTTCAGAAGTATTATCTTGTTCTTATTCTACAAATACTATATACTATATACTGTACCTAGTCATTATTATTTACATATTGATTCATGTGCAAATAATGCAATTGCTTTGGGTGTGCATGCCAATCTGTTAGGATTATACCTACACAACCAAAATGGCAAAAGAAAAAAATTGACTCTATAATGTTATATTTTGCAGATTTTAAACAAGTTCTAGGATGGGAAAGAGAATAAACAAAACTGCCCAACTGGACAGTGAGATTTTGTAGAATGGAGGACCTGAAGCTGTTGTCACATGAATGCTGTGCTGGCCACAGCTTGTTGAAATTTTTGAATTTATATCTATTTGGCTTTTGCAGCCTGTCTGTACATCATGATAATGTTCATCTACTTTTCAGTGTAAAGGAGTTCTGCTAGAACTGTAACAATTCCAAATATTCTTGAATAGAAGTATCTGGTAGATGACCTTGGGAGGACATGAAGGGACATGAAAGGGATGGGAACCTTGGAGATGCAATGAGGCCCAACAGGCTAATTCTAAGATATGTTCAGGAAAGAGTCTGAATCATCACACTAACAGGAATAATATTGTTCTCAGATTCTAAAAAAAGTGAGGAAGCAAAAAGCAAAAAACGCAAAGGAGCAAAAAACAGTGAGACTGCAGCAAAAGTGGCATTAATGAAACTGAAAATGCATGCATGTGGGGACAAGTCCTTGCCTCAGGTCAGTGATGTTTGTTTTCAATAATTGAATTCTCAAAGGAAATGGAAAACTTTCTAAATTTATTGATCTTCATCTAGTTCCCTCATTTTGGTTTTAGATTTGATTTTTAAATCCTACAGTCACTTATATATGTTTCAGCCTGGTCCCCAAAAGCAATCTGACTAGTCTTATGTGTGTTATAAGATGTCTGTGTGGAGTTTGGGTCAAATTTTTTTATTTTATAGTAGAAATGTATTGTCCTGCTACATGGCTGTCACCCAACACTGTGGGGACAGACAGGTTCTTTTCCTTGGCAGAATGATGACAGCACTAAGTTGCATTAAAACTTTATCATTTTAGCAGAATTTGATGATCATCAGAATTTTATTATTAGAGTAGAACATGATTTTTAGAATCACTGTAACACAGTTTTGTAGGTAGCATAGCACAGAATTGTATAGCACATCTTAGCTGCTTGTGGTTCCTAATCACCTGGACCCTCTGCAGATTGGGTCATTGGGTCAAATCTTAATACTTGGCTTGCTATTTTAATATTTGAGTGATCGTCTAGACTGGAAACATGTAATTGCTTGGTTTTCCCACCCAGACTGAATTTATATGTTGGGGCATTTGCAGTGCACCATGCGTTCTTAGAAGTTTGAGTTTGATAATTTGGAGGGTTGGGGAGTCAGTACTCCAACTTAGGTTGGTACCAAGGTGTTTCAGGAGCAGGTTCAGCTACCCATCCAGAATTAGCACCTGAAGATTCAGGGTGTTACACAATTTGTATGTGTAAAAAACCCATTTGAGAAATGAACTTCATAAACTGAATGACATGATTATCATCTTGTTCTTGAAACGGAGAGGAAGGAGGAACAAATAAGGTCAGTAAAGTACAGTGGGTATTGTGTTATCTTTTTACAGCTGAGGGTTCTATGAAGGTGAAGTCATGATTCCTTGGGCACACTCCAGGTTTGTTCAGGCTAAAGAATCTGACCAAGTATCATTCATTACCTAAAACATTAAAAAATTTCTCATTCTTGGGAACTATCCAAACCTCAGTGAAAGTTAAAGGGAGTCTGCATTTAGGAAGTTTTCCATGTGCTGTTTACTCAAGGAGTTAGTAAAGTGACAGATATTTTAACCATCATAGGGTAGTTAATAAGAACTTTGTTACCCTGAGAAAAACGATGGGGTGACAGGGGGAAGTTTAGGCATTTTATTGGTTAAAGAGCAAGAAAATGAGCTTGTTCTACCAGGCATCTGGTGGGTATCTGCTTATTTAAGCATCAAACAGATTTAAGTAGGACTTCATTTTCCTCTATGTGAACTTTACCCTAGAGCTCATTTTAGTAAACCTTTCCACTTCTCAACTGCACCATTATTTTGAGGTCTGTAGGACAGGTGGAACTGGACCCAGACAACTCCATCGTATTCACACCATTCCTGGATTTTTAAATTTTTTTTCATGAATGCCATTATTAAATTGCACAGCAGAGGGCATGGGAGTGTCAGCAAACCATAGATCAAATCCTGCCAGAGTGGTAAAACCATCAGCTTTCCAGCAAGAAAAACTTCATTATTTTAACGCCACTAAGGATGTAACACCACCCTTGGGTGTTCATGGGGGAAGTCCAACATAATCAATTTGCCAAGTGGACCAGAGGACTTATTTACTGCCCACAATCCATTTCGTCCCCCAAAAAGGTGACCTCCCATCTGGGGCCTTAGCATTGTTTCTCCATCAGATGTTTCAGTAGCCCAGTTGGTGTTGCTCTGAATCCAGCCCACAGAATATCCATACCAAACTTATTTAGGTTTCCTGGTTGCATTTGCTATTTTGGGGGGACAGAGGGAGACAAAAGTAAGTTCTAATTTTACCTTAACAATTGAATAAAAAGCTCCATTTATTCAAGTTACTAATATTTTCTGATGTTTCAGTGGGATAGCTCCAGGACAGGATTCTGCTTTAATAGTGAATAGTTGTGCTCCACTATCCATGAAGAAATCAGTCTTTATTGTTTACTATGGCCTAAAGGATGGGACTCAGTCCTCAAGTGGCAGAGAGTAGGGCCACTTGTACCTCCGCCAGTCTGATCCCTTTGCCTAGCTTTCCTGATATTGCTCTCTAATAGGAGAGATAAGTCAGGATATCTTTGTGATTTAAAGGGGTTTCCATTTATGGAAGGGGTACTAGATAGAGATGTGGGTAGTTTTTCCTCCTTTTCTCCTTCCTTCACTAGCAACTGTAATTTTTCGGTAGATAAACCATGAAGCCTTTACTTTCTTTGATTCTTGCAGTTTTCCACAGATTCCTTATTGCTTTTCACTATCAAGGTCAGTCACACCTGGTGTTCAAGTATTTTCACTTGCCAAGATTATGCTGGGTTTAGAAACACCTTGGTTCTTTCATCAGGGGTTTAGATCTGTACTTATGCATCCTCTTAAAACAACTGTACTTAAATTGCTTTTTCACCACATTGCTATGTTGGAGCACACCAAGTTTAAGCCTCTTATACTGGTTTTTAGAATACTGAAAACATTCTATATGATGGTATTATTATTAGGGTTTATCCTAGTAGAGTATATGTCATAACATCAGAGAATCATAGAATGCTTTGGGTTGGAAGGGACTTTAAAGATCATCTAGCTCCAACCCACTGCCATGGGCAGGGACACCTTCCACTGTGTCACCATCCAGGGCCCCATCCAATGCAGCCTTAAACACTTCCAGATACCCTGGAATTCCAGATACACTGGAATTTAATTATCAAAAAAAAAAAAAAGCAGCAACAGCTATTTGATTGCTGAGTCTTCTTATGAATTTCTTTCTTTATACTTGTTTAGAAACCACATAACTGTTTAGGAAGATGTCATAATACAAAGACCTGCTGGTAGCATTCTTCACTAGTAGTACCACTGTAATAAATGTGGGCTAGCAGGAAAGTGAGTAATTTCAAATATTGTGGAACATAATTTTAAAAACCACTCTCAATTTATATAAGAAAAATTTAAAGTTCCTTCCTAATTCTAAAGTCAGTAAACTAAATAGTGTACCACAAATTACTGTATGATAATTTCTCTTACCAGCAATTTTTTCATTTGGATATTAATTGTTTAATCATCTAGAATAGCAATAATTCTAACACTGATAAATTAAGCATGTTAACCTTTAGCACCTCTCTATTTACATTGCTTCCTAGACTCCTTTTAGCCTTTTTCTGCCCAGATTGTTCTATTTTGATGACAGATTTTTTAAATATGAGGTTTCTGGAATGCCTGTTAGGCATATTAGTTCTCTCATCACTATGTAGAGAGGACTGACACATTTTTCTTAGAGGTGCACAGCAAAAGGACAGGAGCAATGGGCACAGGCTGCAATGTGTGTGAAATTCCAATTAAGGTATTAGGAAGAAAAACCACACGGTGAGGATGGTCAGACTTTGGAACAAGCTGTTCTGAAAATTTGTGGAATCTACATTTTGGGATGTTCACAACTTGATTGAATCTGACTTGGAGCAACCTCTTACCAACCTTTTTAGTCAAGTCCAGCTTTAAATTTCCCCCTGATCTGAGCATGATTTTGGACCATGTGACACCAGAGCATCCTTCCTGACCTTTCTTATTCTATGTTGAGGAAAATCCTCCTATCTTAGAAATATCATTTCCTTGGTCTCTTTGTTTAGATTAGCTTTTTGCCAATGATTGCTTCTTTTGATGTCGGACCTGATGAGTGTTATCCCTCTGGAGACTGACCAGCTCAAAACAGGAGGGCCATGCTGCAAAACTGTTAATCATTGTGTCCCTGATTAATCAGTATTTTCTTGAATATGACAGAGAAATTCCGGGAAGCATATCCTGTAGTTACAGGGATGCAACAGTAGAATGAACTGCTTTGGGAATTAAGTTCCTGTGAACTGTGGGAAACTATTTTATCATCCTTAGAACTGGAGGACGAACTAGGAATGTGCTGAGGCACAGGTAGCAGTTGATTGATGTTAGCATGTGTCCATAATAGGAGGGCTGTTGTGTTGGCTGTTCTACAAGTTCTGGTCATTTACATTTGAGCAAGATTCAGGTCCTGCTTCCTTTGCCCCTTTGTAATATTAATGGATGTTGAAGATTTTCTCAAGCACACTCAAATTTTGAGGAAAATACACAGGTTGAAATTCAGACTCAGCTTTATGAACATAGCTAAGGTAGTTCCATATGTTTCTAGGGAAGGCATAAATAAAAACTTTAAAAAGAGACTTCTGTCTTGTTTGATAGTGTCTGATTTGTCTTCAGCAAGGGCAGTCCTACCTGATGAATGTAGCAGTCGTGCTTGCTCTATGTCTTCTCTTGAAATAAACCTGAAGAAGAGATTGTCCCAGTCCTGTTGAAAATCTCTCTCTCATAGGTTACTCTTGAAATTTCTTAAACAAATATTTCAGTCTAGGAGGAAGAGTGTTTAGTACGTAAAAGGAGGAAAACCAGGTAAAGGATTAGCTATGACCGGATTCTTGTTCAGGGAATTTGCATTCCAATTTGAGACACTGTACTGCTGCCAAAAGCCAGTACTGCTGATTTAAACTCACCTTTTTCTCCCCAGGGCAGACACCTTCTCCTGTCTGTCTGTATATAACAGAGTAGCTGTGGGACTCATGGCAAAAGATGTTCTCTTCACCGTTTAGACTTGCAGTCCATCATATATGTGCCTGCAGTGGGAGAGGGTTGGATTTGATGATCTCAGTCTCTCAGTCATTTATATTCTGCAGTAAAATGGTCCTGATGGAATAGAACAAGTTTCAGTTGGTAATTTTGGGGCTGAAGTTTAAGCTTTTTACTGAAAAACTATTAGATGTGTATGACTGGAATTACGTGTTTCTTCTGTGAATAATTTTGTTTTATTTTTCATGTTTTTCTAGGCAGAAAGAATTTACTTTCAAGTATTTTTACCAAAGGGGAACAAAGAGAAAAGCAAACCTATGTTCTTTTGCAGTAAGTGGAGTGTTGGCAAAGTAGTAGATTTTGCAGCTTCCTTAGCAAGCCTTAAAAATGACAACAACAAATCAACATCCCAGGTAAATCGGTAGTAACTAATATTTTCCAGGTTATTGCATTTTGATTTTAGTTTTCTTTAGCCTTTTTTCTCTCCTCCACCCCATGTCTTTCCTCTCGGATAGGCAAATCTTGATGTTAATTTCTGTGCTATTTGTCTTACAGAAATTGAGATTATGCCATACTGTCTCTGGAGAAGCCTTGCCATTTGAACATACACTGGAAACGTGGCTGTCTGATAAAGACTGTCCACTGTACAATGGAGGAAATATAATTCTGGAGTATCTTGATAATGATGTTCTATTTATAGAAGATACAGAGTCATACTTTAGTTAGTAAATTATCACCAAAAAAAATAAGATTTTTCAGAAGCATTCTATTTTAGCAAGTCCAGTTTTCTTTTAAAATCACTGGTATGCCAAAATCTCTCCTCAGTTTTAAAGACACAGTTCCCATCAATTTCCAAGTTGCTTGACTGACAGAAGATCAAAGTCCTGAAAGGAAAATTAGTTATTATAATAATTAATATTACAGATATTTACATTCTAGAATAACTTCTTCCTCTATTGAGCTGTAAAATATCAAGAATGTGTTCTTCATTTTTATATTTATTTTTTATAAATGGTGGGGACAGTATGTATTAATAAATAATGGAAATGTAAACTTGCAGTGTACCAGTTCTTTGAAGGAAAGAAACACATTACACTATTGCAGCATCTTTTCTATGTCTACGAGAACAGATTTCATTGAGTTTGGAAACCAGGACTGTCCATATGCCAGGTCCACACTTTCTTCTCCTAATAGGTTAAAGACGTTTAGAAGGAAAGCTTTCTGAAGCAAGAGTAAATCCACACAGATGTCTTCCTTGTGTTTGCAAATCTCATTGTGTGATTAGGTGGGGGATAAAAAGAGAACTTGAAATTATTCTTCTCTAATTCCTGTGTAAAAGAGGAATAAATATGGTCAGAGAGAAAGAAATATCATTTAACTAGAAGTGTAGCATTTAACAGCTTGGAATATCATCTGGGCACTTCCAACCGTGGGTAAATCCTCTTCAGCAGTCAGCAAGGTGATTTACCAAGTTTTAAAGTGGTTATTTACAGTGATTGTAAATAAAGAAGTTACACCTCTGGGTGAATAAGAATGACTTATACAATTAGTGACCCCCTCAGTTGTTGGTGTCCTGTTTGTTGGTCATTAAGAAGGTAGTTCATAATATCAGTAGTTGATGTACTCCAGATCTTGGATCTCTTTCAAAGCTGGATTGAAAATTCAAAGTGAACATAGGAAGTAAAAACCATGAGATCATTTTTATCACAGTCACAGCTGTTTTGAATTGCTGAAACACAAAACCACATAATGTGGCACACAAATAGTAGGGCCAACACTCTTCTAACTGTATATACATCTTCCTGATGTATAACCAAGGAGCCTTGCTTTATCTTTCTGAACAGACCTGTTACAACATAAACTTGTCCTCCGGTGGCCTTGAGCCTATCTCTGTTTAAAGTAGAGGACTAGAACCCTTTCAAGACTAATCCTTCCAATTTGCTTTCACCTGTTTACAACTATTCTGTCAAAATTCTCCAAGAAAATGACAGTGGATGAACAGATGTGAACAGAGCAGTGGAAAGCACAAGCCTAAGCTTTATTTGCAAAGCTGTAGTGTATTTCTGCTGCTCTGTGGGGCTGTGCAGAGTGGAAGAACTACTGAAGCAAACCTATTCATCGGATACTAAAGAGGCTTAGCAAGATTTTCAGCTGCAGCATGGAAGGTGTGATCCATTGCTACTGAAATGACCTAGTGGCTTGTGATTAGAGCACAGTATTCAGACCAAGGGGGAGAAATCTCTGTCTTCCGCAGCCTGACTCACTGCTAGATCAGCGTGACTCACCTTTAAATGGGTTTGAAAAGGGAAGAGCTATCTTTCTTTTTCAGACAATGGGGCACTTTCTTTCAGGTGACTATCTTCGTGTGCTATTCTCAGGTTTGTAAGGATGTTCCAGCTTCTACATGCACCATGACTGAATGTACTCAGTGACACCTGGAGGTGTAGCTGGGCCACAGGGAGATGAATGTCTACATTGTTCAAAAATGTCAATATGATGCATCCCAAGGACATTCTCCTGCCACTGCAGGACATACACAGAAGTGGGGAAAAATTCTATGAAGAGGGCAGGGGACATAAGGTTAAGGAATACTGGTAGTCCTGTGAAAAATGGAGTTTCAGTTCGGAGAGCTCACATGAGGCGGAGAGATGTACGACTCAGACATGCAGGTGGAGATGGACAATTCACCACAGTCACTTGGGCATTCACCAAATTTGGATTTGGTAGTTGGGCTCATTCAGTTACCACATTCACTAACTGAGAAAAAGTGTCCAGGTTTTCCTCCAGTATGTGCTTGCCTAAAGGGAAACAATGTCCACGTTGGATTGTCGTTCATTATACCAGTTTGAAGAGAAACAGACATGTATGACATACCCATTCTAGGCACAGCTGCAATTAAAAAAAATCACAATGTAAGGGGAGTCTCCCTGGCATCTTTTTCAAAGCTACTCTCCCCACTGGTAGAACAGTAATGTGGTCTTTGAACATTCAGCTGGCTGTAAAGTGTTGTAGTTTTCATTACTACCAAGCAATAGTTCCTTCGTAACAATTTAGGAATATCTGTAGGATTATTATGTATTGATTTGACTTGCATAAAAACCCAAAAAGATCTCAGTAAGCATGTCACTGTTAGTTGTTTCTCATTTTGCTTTATGGTACTCTTTACTGTAGTTTTAACATGACTTGGGAATTGATAAATTATTTTACTGGATGTGGTATGAATGTCACAAAAAGGAAGATGTTTTTGGTTTCCCTCAAGGAAAGGTTTTCAGTGGCTGGATATTTTTGAAATGTTTGTTTCCTGGCAGCAGAAATTATAGGAGCATTTCTCTGGCCTGTCTCTCCTGCTGTTATCTTCCTTTCCAGTACAAGAGGAACAGTTCCTTTTTCTCTTGTTATTTCTTTTCCTCCCTTTCCTCTGCAATTTTCCATTCATCTTTCTTTGCATTTAGGCTGCTGTGGTATGGAATATGCAATAAGAGGCCAACCATCATTGTGGGACCAGTGATTTGGGGAAGAGCCCTAAACAGCACTTGCTCCCCCCCCCGTTGTTACACAAGCAAGTGGAAAATGCTGCTACACAACAGGGCCATTTTTTTTTTCAGCAGAAAATCTTCATTCTCTGCTTACACCCTTTCTCCTGCCCCTGATTTTTCTGCCTTAGCAGTTGAAGGCAAAATACTTGAAATAACATTTGTTTTGGATAAAGGGAAGATAGACTTGGGATACAGCAAATAAATCTTTGGGGAGACCTCAAAGGTTTTACCAGGATGGTTGCTTTCATCAATCGCCAGTAATTGCTAAGAGCTAGCAGCCTGTAATGACAATACTAACATGGCAAGTCACAGTTGATAAGACTCCAAAAAGTTTTCACATTCATCTTATTCCAGGAATGTGTCTGGGATTGTACATAGAAGCTAATTCCACTTAGTTTTCAGAAACTGAGAAGCAAAACCAAATTAAGCTAGTCTGACAGGTAAATAATTGAGGAGAGGTGAAAACTCTACCCTAAACAATTATACTAGGAACAAAAGCAGAAACTTTCCCAGAGCTTTGGTATCTTACCTAGGCTAGGATTGCTCACATTTTACCTGTTTAGACTCTAGCATATCTTTACTTAGCATATATAATTTTTTGGTTTTTTTCTACAGCTTATTATCTTAGCACATTTTCATAGGGAAAGTTCAACAACTGTATTTGAAAAAAATTATAAAACACTTTGGAGGAGACATTTGAAACTGCTGTTAATTTTACAGGCCTGTGTTTAGAATGTGCTGAATTGTTTCACTTCAAAGTTAATAAATAAAATGTTAAACTCACTTCTAGTAGTTACAAAGAAAATGTATGCAAAGTTGCTTAAACGAGAAGAGGAATTTGTCAAAAGAAATACCTAATGATTTTATAATAAACATTATTTCAGCCAAACTACTAAAATAGGTCAATATTAAGCTTTTTGGTTGTTCTGTCTGTATAATAATTTTAGAGAATGCACAAGGTCAAGGCTTTGCAAACTTGCTTCTGGTAGCAGCTCCCAGCCTTGTTCCAGTTCAAACACTGCTACAAAGTTGCCTGGCATAAATTTGTAATATACAGAACATAGTTTGGAAACAACAGTTTTGTTGTATTTAATACTAAGAGCTCAATTCTGCTCGGATATGAGAGCCATTAGATCAGCTGGGCAATGCTGTAGTAAACGAGAAACAATATATCACACTAAGAAAGCAGGAAGTAATCTCTCGTACTTTTAGCGTTTTCCATTTCTGTGTCTGCTTTGGAAAAGTATGTGCTCTGGAGTGTGATCAGTCTGAAGACTTTTTATCAATAGATCACCTCTGTTCATCTTGTTTATCAGGTGTCAATTGAAAATACATCTCCTTGCAGCTCAGTTCTCCTCATAGTAGCCTCTTACATGAAATACAAAATTTTGTTTCGGCTGGAATGGTAACTGTGGTTTGGATTAGGGAAATTCTTTTACTTATCAGGCATTCCTGTTTACTTCTGATTTTAGGATCAATGCAGAATTTGAAATCTCCTGTAAAACCCTTCCTGTAATGTTAAGTATACTATTAACAATGTCAAAGAAGCCATTTTCCATAATACTTGTGCAGTCCTATATAGGTTGTACTGAGGCATGTTTGGCAGCTTCCCTCAATAAAACCCAACTCTGAAACAAAGTGCCTCTTTCAACTGGCTGCATGCTATTAATACAACCTCGTAAAGAATGACTTCCAAAATAATTAGTAAAAACATAATTTATCATCTCCGTAGTTCTTCAGTGAGTACGCATCCTTTAAAAAGCAGGCTTATATCACTATTCCTGTTTATGAGAAGGGAAGGAGGAAAAGTGGAATGGCACAGTGACTTGTGTGACACAAGAGCATTGCCGGCAGTGGATACTGTATCTTCGCCGATGTGGAAAGCACCTATCTGTGGGTTGGATTGCCATTAGGGACATAGGGTAAGACTGTGTCTTTTGGCGATGTAGATATTTTACGATTATTTTAAGCATAAAGCAAACTACAACCCTTGTCCACAACCATAAAGCAAACTACAACCCTGCTGTTTACAGCAGACCATTGTTTTACATATGACAGTAAGTGACATCACTTGCAATTTGTGAAGACAACTCCTCAGTGTTTTGCTTTGATTACCGACAATAGGGTCAAAACACCACAAGTAAAAAAAAAAAAAAGAAAGTGGTATCAGTCAGGCTTGGAAAGGAAAGCTTCAGGCTTGGAAAGGAAAGCTTTTTTCCTCTATATGATTTTAATTAATCTTAGAAATGCACCAGTTGAACTGTAAATTATTTTCAAAAATCTTTGAACCCTGTGAACTCACCCTCCGAGAGGATGTTGAGGCACTGGAACAGTTTGTCCAGAGAAGTTGTGGATGCCCCACCCCTGGAATTGTCCAAGGCCAGGTTGGATGGGACTTTGAGCAACCTGGTCTAGTGGAAGATGTCCCTGCCCGCGGCAGGGGGGTTGCTTATGATCTTTAGAGCCCCTTCCAACCCAAACCACTCTGATCCCATGATAAACTCCAATCGCGTGCCCCATGGGAGAGCATTTACGGTTATCTCCACGCCGCCGCGTCCAATTATTAACAAGAAGTCGACATCACAGGCTAATTTCAACACTTTCACTGTGCATTTTGACAGCGCT